AACCATATGTAGGAGAGCATCTCTCTCATGCATATGCCTGTCCCGTGTTAATCGCTGGACTCAAAGACATCACAGTGTTGTGCACAGGAAATATCCTTTGTGAGTAGATAAAGGACAAAAGCTAGGCCTCTTTCTCACCTGTTGCCAGCTATTAGAGACAGGTGGTAACAGAGGTAAATGCTACACTAAAAAGTGTTGCTGCCAATAAACATTTTACTCCCAACTCAGAAGACAGGCATGGAGGGAAATCTGCCTCAGAATCTCTGATTATGTGTGCTTTCACTCAAGTTAGGGCAGCACAACTGGCAACTGATGTTAACACTTGTTTGAATACAGTCTGCCATCTTTCAGACTGTTTGTTAAAAGTGTAAAACTGATATGCAGTGGCATTTTGGGCCAGATTTGTTTTTACAATATAGTACCTCCTGAGGACTCCTGAGGCAATATAATCTGTTAAATGCCCTTTGCTCAGTGCTGCGCCTCCAGACACAGCCTACCCTTGAATTCGTAAGGCATCATCCAGTTAATTCTACTCAAGATTACATACTGGGCTAAATTCATCCTTATTAGAATTTCAGTGGTTATATCTTGGGCCATTGGTCTTGTACAAATCAGATATATCTTTAAACAACAGACATCTCGCTTGTGGAAGTACACATGAATTACACCCAGATGCAAATCAGCTCAAAGATCAGAGGGTAAACTTTGCATGGTTAACAAGACCTTAAAAAGAGTATTTCTCTAACAGTACAATCATCCCCACTTGCAAATACTTCTCTGCCCAATCATCAAAGACTACTGTACTTTATATCTTGGAATGGTGTGATCACACACATTGTACAACTGCCTAGTAAGATAAATGTCTCATTCCTGAATGTAATCAAGGGGGAACAACCATTGTTCATCCCTCAACTGCTGTTCAAACACATACCATCAGCTGTCATGGTCTGGAACAGAACTATCTTGCATCAGACCCAGTAGGGAAATATCACTGGAATGTTTTGAAGTTACCTCACTTTGTAGTTTATGTGCATTCTTGGCACACCGCAATCTCACATCATCAGTCAATGAAGTGTATTGGTGTAGCAGCTGTCTGTACTCTTGCTCACTGACCAAAGACTGGGCTTTCCTGGCATGTACCAAGTTTATCATATCCAGTGGCAGATGGAAGTGAGTCTTCGTATGCTCAAAACCTTCCTTATATTTCACCTTTCAAATTAAAAACAGATCACACATATATCACAGCAGGGTAAACAAAATTCAGGTTTTGATCAAAAGAGACATTCTCCGTATTTCTCCATTTTCCACCATAAATTATTCTTTTTAAAAGTAAGTTCCCTAACATGTCTAACTGTACTGTGAATGACCAATATACATAATTAGAATATGCTGCAGCCTATTCCAGGTCAAAATAGTAGCCATCTACATTATATTTAAACAGATTGAGATTTTTTTTATAATTTTCATTTTTTGTTAAAACTGGATTCATCTAATCTGTAAAACTATAAAATTGATAAATGAATTCTTAATTCACTGCATTTCTAGAAAGCACAACAAAAAGTTGAAGCTACTGCCTGAAGATAAAACCCAAACAGCCATATTTAAGTAAGAATCACCACAAATCCTCATTCTAAATATTTGTTGGTCTTAACTGATTTAGCCAGCTTCATTTTACAGTTTCAAATGTTATTTTTTGGTGCAGAGGGTTCCCCCACCTGTTAGCTCTGGCCAGGAAAAGAAAACCCTAGGGATCTTCAAAGAATTTTTTTCACACAAAATTTCCACGTAAGTTTACGCATACTTCAGATGTTCAAGACAGCTCATCCAGATAATGAACATCCAGAATTGTTAATGCTCAAAATAAGTTAAAGTAACTTGGCAGATGGCCAAATTCTTCCAACATTTATTGTTATCTGTATGAATCTAAGCATATCATCACACACGAAAGTATCCCAGGACAAGCCCAGCACCTATGGAAATCCATGAACGCATTCCCATCTATATCCATGATCAGCCTTGTTATGTGTAATTTTGGTAAGGAGATAAATAGTTCTTTGGAGATTACTTATGTAGTTAAAGTGAGACAAATGTTTCACTGCTTTCTGGATTAAGCCACAGTGTTTAAAAGGTACTGAACAGTCACAATGCTTATAGACAATGAATGAAACGTGCTTCTTAGCATCTCCCACGACCAAGTGGGAACCATGGTATGACCGTAAAAACCAACCTGAAATTCCGTACTTTCATTCATTCTATAGCCTTTCAAGAAAACAGTAAATTGAAACTAATCACTGAATAATTCTGTATCGCTACCGAATTTAATTTACTTGTGTGCAAAGAATAGTAGTAATTGTCAACCTAAGCCACCTCTGACCGACAATTCTGCAGATTAAAATGCTCTATGCCAGGAAACAGTGGCTTGGAGCTAGGGGTGTGCAAGAATGCATGCACCTGCTTTTACTGTCAAATTAATGTTATCGTAAATAACGATATAATCATGATGTTATCATTCTTTCACAAAATATCTAGAAAGTGCAAAAGAAAGCCTCAGGTTTGAAATAGTATGACAAGAAAGAAGTTAGCCCATAGCTAAGTACATCTTCCATGAGGAACTACGTTCTGTCAGGAAAAGAATTCCAAAATACCCACATCTTCTTTCTTGTACTTACATCACTCTGTACCAATGCTGCACGAACTGAATGAGCAATATGAATATCACCATCCAGGCCACGTGAGCCAACCATCTGCCCTTTCATTTTCTCAAATGCCTCCTTATACTTGTGCTGAAAAGGAAATAAGAACAGAAAAGTGAATACAAGTGATGAAGCACAAGTATCTGTTAAAATTGTTAAAATGCAAATAAAAGGGTTCTCACATTACAGGAGAGCTATGGACAATATATTCTGGCTAGACTTAATACGCCAATAAATATCAATAAAACTTAAGAGGATGTTAAGAATACCTCATTCGTGTAAACATTTTAATATTTTATCCCACACAAGAAATACACAAATTAACATTTACAAAAAGCACAGGTTAGTTACCTGCTATTACACAGGTGGTGGAACACAAGAACCTAGTGCAGGTGCTGCAGGTTCCACTGAGGAACCTCTCTCCAGTGGCTTTCTAGAAAACTCAGAACAACAAGTATCCTATCCCTGAAATTAATTTATACCCCTTTACAACCTGCAACACCCAAGACAAATGCTGAATGGTAGAGCTTCATGAGCAAGCTCTCCACTGCAAACCTTGCCTAGCAGATAGTGCCTGGCAGCTCGGGAACAATCCCTGTGACCTGCCAGCATGTGAGCTGGTCAGCTCTGCTCATAGGTGTTTGCTTTAGCAAACTTTCGCTTGCTTAGTTACCAATAGCACTTCATTGCACCTATACTTGCAAAAATCACAACAATGAACTAGACTGAGGCCGAATGTCTCCCAGCTGTAGAGTTGGCTGGACAAGCTGTTTCCATCAAGAGTCACTCAGCAAAGCAGAAAGATTCTGGAGTGACTGGGGTATCCTACTGGACAATATCAGCCATAAGTTCACTTACATCACTTATGATTTCACCCGAAGCCTTTGCTGCCTGGAAGGGAATGGCATCTAGCTTCAGTTGATAGCCACCATCTTTCATCTTTCCCCAGGATTCCTTATAGCGAATCTGGTAGAAAATATGGAACAGAAGTGAAGCAGAGTAGCTGTTCAGGTGGTTGACATTGCAGCATTACTGTTATCCTCGCAATGTATGCATGTTAGCTACATTCTGTTCTAACACAAAGCACTAACGTAAATGAAACTGTCAACAGACAACAGGAATAATCAAATCACAGATGTCCATTATAAAAATGTACCTGTTTGTTTATTCTTAATCTTTCTAAATTAATAGGGGTTTGATATGAAGTTTGGTAAGAAGTTTAATATCTTATTTTACTTCAGAAATATTTAGACCATAGAACGATTGCACACTAGGGAGAGGAAAAAAAGTTTTGTGTGATTTCCTGTGCAGGACAAATTGCAAAGCACTACTGAATTTTTTTACTTTCCTTCAATATTTTAAAAGGTCTGATTTGTACCTCACTGATATTCATAGCGTTTAATTTGGCCTGAAGGATTTCAGGGAGATCTGCCGTTGGTGTATACTGATGCTTTACACTCTCTCCATGCTCTTTGTATAGCCTCTGCAAATAGAGAAAAATTTAGTAGCAAGTACTCACTACACATTCAGTCACTAGTTCAGATAAACATTAACAAATAAGTTAATGAAAAGCAAGCAGTACAGAAAAATGACAGCAGAATTAATTAATAAAGGCAATTGTATCAGTTAAAAAGTATTCAAAAAGTTTTGGGGCATGGTATACCTATCAGCTAGAGTACACTAGAGAGGAACTCCTTGAAGTTCTAAGGGTATAAATCCATGAATATGAAAATTCAGATATCTGAATATTAATTTGATAAGATTTCCAACACATGGGAGTAGGGAGAGGAAGAATTAACAGTTTTTATTACAAATATGCAGCCATGATTGGCCCACAGACACTTCTGTCACGCTATAGAAATCTGGGGACCTCAGGTTCCCCAAACATGTATCTTTCTAAAACTGTTAATTTTTAGCAGGTCTCTGCGCAACTACTCCAATGTTATTTCCAGAGCTAGCTACAGAGAAGTGCTCAATGGTCTGTCAATGGCAAGATATAAAAGCCTTGGGTCCTGAAATAGGTGTGATGGGCCACTCACATCACTCTTTGGAGGAAGCGTAGCAGGCTCACTCAGGACTAGCTATCTTTCAGATGTCTGCAGACAGATAGGAGGAATTCTATCCAGTTAAGTGGAATTTCATTCACAATGACTATTCAAAGTTCATCTCTTTCAAATTATTTTTCTTTCTTATCTTAGTTTCCTCCTACATTGACACTGTAGTTTTCAGACCAGTACAG